TTACCCCTAATTGTATGGGTAAAGTTTTTTGGACGTTTTTGAAATAACTTTTTGTTGCAAATCAAAATTTTGCATTTTTTATGATCTGTTACTTTTTTTGCGACTAGGCGGAAAGCATGAAAAAGCATGAAAAGTGAAAGAGGATTATAGTTTTTTACTTGATATTGTTGGTTATCTGTGTATTTTTTTAGAAGTGTCTTTTTTTGGGTTTTTTGTGGGTTGTAGACAGTACTTAATTACTGTTGCTACTGCTGCGCTGCTGCTGGAAAAGAAAGGCGAGAAGGGTGACAAAGGTGGAGAGAAGAGGAGAGAGGGGTGATGGTTTATTGGTAAGTAGTTTGAGGTTTGGGAGAGAATAGCAACAAAATCAGCTTTACTAAATGTTGAAGTGTTGTGTTTTTTTTTTATTTTTGGATTTATATTGTTTTTTTTTACTTCTCAAAGCGTGTTTATTTGTTTGTTTGTCTGTTTGTTTGTTTGTTTGTTTGTTTGTTTGTTTGTTTGTTTATTTATTTTTATTGTTTCTAGTTCCAATTCCTAAAACAAAAATTGGAAAGAAAAGGGAAGAAGGGAAAGAAAAGTTAACAACAGCATTAACAGAGGAAAATGAGAAGAAAATGAGGAAGGAAAAAGAAAAAAAAAGAAGGAATAAAAACATTTGATCGACTTACAATGTCATCTTTTGAATCTTTGCTGTCGTCTTTCTTTTTTTTTGTCTTTTGCTTTTTTTACTCAAACCAAAATCAAAACCGAAACCAGAATCATGAAAATGAAGGCAAAGACGGAGGAGAAGGAGGAAAAGGATAAGAAGAAGCAGAAGAAGAAGAAAAATAAGAAGAAGAAGAAGAAGAAGAAGAAGAAGAAGGAGGAGAAAGAAGAACGTTCTTCTTATCACTTTTTTCTGCTTCTTTGGCGTATTTGTTCAAGTTTTTTGCTTAGTTTCTTTTTTTTGCATATAATCTTTTATGCTAATAGTTTACTACTGTAAAAACTGTTGCAGAAGGAATAATTTTATAAATTTGATTGAAGAAAAATGTTTTTTTTTTTGCTTATTTCTTCTTGTTTAGTTTTTTTCTTGGTTTTTGAAAAAAAAATTTTTTTTCGTTTTTGCTGTTTATTTGTTGTTATTCTGTTGGTGGTATATATATATATATATATATATATATATATATATATATAGGTGCTGTGCTTAAGAGTGCGTATTTTTGTTTGTGGTCGTCCCCAAAATCCTTACAACTTTTTGGTTTATCAAACAGCTTTTGGTTATTTATGTTTATTTATTTATTTATTTACACTTGTTTTTATATTTATATTTTTTTGATATTTATTCATTTATTTATTTATTTTTACAAAAAAAAATGAAGGAGAAAAGAAAGAAGAGAAAAAGAAGCTTTACGGCAAAAATCAAAAGGTTTGTTGGTTAAGGTTCTTTGTTTGTTGTTTTTTTCTCGTTTGTAAAGAAAAAAAAACTGAATTAACTACATTTTGAAAATGAAACTTGTTGGGTTTTTTATGGCTGCTTTGATAAGGTTTTCCAAAATCTAAAGTGAAATTTTTGGTTGAACTAAACAACTGACTTTTTGCCTCATTACAAAAATTGCAACTGAAAGGTTGCTGAGAGGGAGAGGGGACGGGGAGGGAAAGGCGAGGGTGAGACGGGAAGAGAGGGAGGAGGGGGCATCAACAGTGCCTTTGATTATTTTGCT